AACAATAAATTTCGACCAAAAAAACTGAAAGAAGATGAACAAAAAAAAAAAAAAAAATAGTTGCGGCGAAATGAGGAGAGAAAGCTCTTGCCCGATAGGTTTCCCAATTTTTTCGGGTTTTATACTAACCCTTAAATCAATCTCCGTTAACTTTGCTTTAACCGTCCGATCTTCTTTTTTGGTTGATGGGCAATTCAATCTTGGGCTAATAAAAATCCAATTTTAATGGGCTTAGTATAAGATAATGTAATGGGTCGGCATTATTTGGGCTGATTAAAACAAATATGGGTAATTTACATACATACAGCTCTCGTTGTTAAATATTTATAACATTACGATATTAAAATCTTATTTGCATATCCACTATATCTAATCAAAATATTTAGATAAACATAACAACGCCTCTCTTTCTCTTTCCTCTCTCTTTCATCTTTTCTTCTTCCCCTGATTTCTTTCCCCCTTTCTTTTTCTTCCACCTATTTCCTTTCATCCCAATTTCCTCTCTTTATTCTCGCATATTATCTTAGCGGCAAGGCTCCCTGGAACGGTGCAGAGACCGGCGGCTTCAGCTGAAGGCGACCTTGCAACCGGCGCCAACGAGACCTGGGAGCGGCGCAGTTATCGGACCCTAGACGATTCAGGGGTTCGGTCCAGTGGCGGCGACCGGCGGGTTCGGCAGCATTCCTCATCGCCCCTCAATTGGGAAATCGAGCCTAATCCCACCGGATAACCACAACAACAAACCATTTTCGATTTCGGCTCCTCGATTTCCAGGATTTCTACGCTCAATTTCAATTAATCCCCTCATCAATTTGCCCATGGCGATTTACTATAGTTCAATCTACTCGATTTATTACTGAAAACGATGTTTCAATACTTTATTCTGTAGAAGGGAAAGCGGTTGTGTTGAGTCATTTGAAGGCAGACGAGGCTTGTTTGGAATACAATCAAGAGGACGGTTTACTATGTCATCAAAAATAGAAGAACTGCTGGTGCGTTGCTCAACGATCGTAAAATTTTTTATCCGCCAATCATGAATTTTTTAATGTGCTGATCGTGAATTTGTGAGAATTTTGTGTTGGGTTTGTGAGAATTTTTAGATTTTAATGTTTATTGTACGATTAGTACTAATTTATAAGAATTACGAGAAACTCGAGCGTATATTTTATGTATCTTTTATGTATATGTATGTCCCGATCTGCCGTTGGTTTGATTAACGAGAAACTCGAATGTATATTTTATGTATATGTGTGTCCCGATCTACCGCTGGTTTAAATTACGAGAAACACGAATGTATATTTTATGTATATGTACAATTAAAAACACTCGAGTGTGTATTTTATGTATATGTACAACTAAAAACACGTTTATCTATGTTTTATATACCGAAAATATATGTGATCTTGTTCATTGTCGTTAGGGTACAACTAAAAACACGTTTATCTATGTTTTATATACCGAAAATATACGTTTATCTATGTTTCATATACCTAAAATATATGTGATCTTGTCCATTGTCGTTCGGGTACAACTAAAAACACGTTTATCTATATTTTATATACCGAAAATATATGTGATCTTGTTCATTGTTGTTCGGTTGCAAAGGTATGTTCCAAATTCATAAGTATATTTGTTGTTGATATACCGTATATATTTGTATTTACGTTGGTGTATGAGCAAAACAATCGGTGAGATCTCACCAAATTTGAATATGTCGAGATCTTCATCTTCAACAAATCTATTCTTAACCAAATAACAACCTTCAATTCATGATAATTCGAAAACAAAAAAGAAAAAATCGATACTAAATTGCTTCAAATTGCCTCATGCTTGAGCAGTATATATTGCATAAATAATAAAATTACATAAACCAATGCTAAACATTTTGAGGTCAGATAATTTGAGACACAATACAAACAAGAAATAAGCTAGTGCAGAAAAAAAAGAGGATAAAATTAGAGATACGAAACCTAATATGTAACAATACAACAAGCTTCAATAGATGAAAAAAAAAAGAAAAAGAAAAACAATACTAATCTTGTTGAAAATTGCTTGCTCTGTATATATTACATAAATAATAACAATATATAAATGCTATCAACAAACTCCTTGTCAAGTAGCATCTCGTCCATGCCGATATCTTCACCTTCAACAAAATCGGAGTCTTGGCCGGGTTTTGCTTCTGCGAAATTGGAAGACTTTTTATTCCGCCAAGCTCGTTGCTTCTACGGTTCTTGTTCACCGACATCGCCGGCGACATTTCCGTCTATAATTTCTTCTCCAATTCTACTACTCGATTTGTTTGAGCCACTATGTTTGGAATTAGTTTGAAATTGCGCTTCCTCTGGACATGCTTGTGGTCGACCTTATGTTTAAGGGTTCTCCTTCGTCGGCGGGATAGTCGATTTTTGCTAGTAATTATACTTTTGTTTCTCGACAAAGAAGATGGTGTAA